GAGGATAGGAGCGCGCACGCAGGGGAGTCGCACGAGTGGAGGGAGAGAGGAGGAGGGAAGGCGGCCACGTTGAAGGAGGGAGGAGGGAGAAGGGAGAAGGGAAGCTAAGACTATGGCGGGAGGGAGGAGGAGTATGGCGGGGAGGAGAAGGGAATGAGTATGGCGGGATGGAGAAGGGAGGAGTATGGCGTGAGGGAGGAGGGAGGAGGAAGGCTATGGCGGAGGAGGAAAGAGGGAGCCTATGGCGGAGGAGGGAGTCAGAGGGTGCTGAAGAGCGGAGGAGGAGGGAGGCAATGGAGAGGAGGAGGCAGGTGATGCAGAGGGCGGGAGGGAGGCGATGGGGAGGGGTGGAGGAAGGCGATGGAGAGCGAGGAAGGAGGGGCGCTATGAGAAAGGAGGGAGGAGGGGGGCTATGGCGGCCATTCACGTAGGGGTGGTGGGGGCCTATGGCGGAAGAGGGAGGGCGGGCGTCATGGAGAGGGGAGGAGGAGGGAGGCGATGGCCGCCCCTGGAGGAAAGAGGGAGGCGACGGGCGCCAAAGAAGAAGAAGAAGAAGAAGAAGAAGAAGAAGAAGAAGAAGAAGAAGAAGAAACGAAAAAGAAGAACAAGAAACGAGAAAGAAGAAGAAACGGAGAAGAAGAAGAAGAAGAAGAAGAAGAAGAAACGAAAAGGAAGAAGAAGAAGAAGAAGAAGAAGAAGAAGAAGAAGAAGAAGAAGAAGAAGAAACGAAAAGGAGGGAGAAGAAACGAAACAAAGAAGAAGAAGAAGAAGAAACGAGAATGAAGAAGAAGAAAGTTCAAGAAACGAAAAAGAAGAACAAGAAACGAGAAAGAAGAAGCGTAGAAGAAGAAGAAGAAGAAGAAGAAGAAGAAGAAACGAAAAGGAGGAAAAAGAAGAAGAAGAAGGAAACGAAAAGGAAGAAGAAGAAAAAAAAAAAAAAAACGAAGAAGAAGAAGAAGAAGAAGAAGAAAAGACAAAAAGAAAAAGGGAACTTACCTCGAAGTTCGAGCCTTCGTCGGGATGGCGTGGCGCAGTCTTCGAGGAAGACAGGACGACGACGATGGCGGCAGCAGGACGACGACGGCGCGGCGGGAGGGCGACAACGACCGCAACGACGACTGGCGCGTGGGGGAGGGCCGGAGGGCGGAGAGCGGAGGGCGTGGTGCACGGGGTGGGCAGACCGGCCCGAATCCTGGGAGCTACGCGCGCCGCCGATCATCGATGATCGACGCCCTTGATCAAAAAAAAAGAGAACTTCTCAAAAGGGGCCTACCGGGCCCCGAAAAATTCTGCGCTGCCAGCCAAACAGTTTTTTGGCCTGTGGGCCGTCGGGCGGCGGTGGGAATTTTTTTTTTTACGGCCGTTTTTGGTACGGCGCTGAGCAGGCCTGGGTGCCTGGCCGGGGGGGGCGCACGGCCGAGCGCCCCGAGCACCATTCCGGGCGACCTCGGGTGGCCCGGGTTGGAAAGCTAGATCATGATTCATGAGCAATTTCTAGCCTGTTACACAAAAGACCTCATGAGATAGGCTAAAATTCAGAAAAAGTCTGTAGAAGCTTGAAAAAAATATGAGAGCGGAGGGTCAAAACTGAACCCACCTACTATCCAACCCCCCCCCCCCCCCCCCCCCCCCCCCCCCCCCCCCCCCCCCCCCCCCCCCCCCACTCCTTCAACAGGCGAAACGTCGGTCCAGGCCTTCAGTCCTCGTACCAGAACTCACTTGATCTTATACCCCCTCCTGCTAGGGTAACAGGGCACCACAAACTTCCCCAGTACTGACCAACCTAGTTCTGACGGACTGGAAGTGCCTTCCTCCCTCGACATTTCCTTAGCCGCAAGCCCCTGACACCAGGTTACAGGGTGAATACTTAGTACCCCGGCGGCGGCTACGTTGGACGGTCCAGTTATGGCTTCCACCCTCGGCATAACTCCACCAGGCCTCAAGCTCCCCCTAGGTCACAGAGCAAATACTCCAGCACCGGCCTGTGTCGTCCCAGCGTCGTCCTTCTGACCTACTTACCTTAAACCACGAGTACTTACCAGAGTCGCGCTTGTTAACGCGCCACAATTTTAGGAAACGTACGGGCTACTATAGGAGCGCCCAAATTCATCCGACTAGAAACGTTTCTACTCTATCTTTTCCCGCGGCCGATAGCTGGGCCAAGTACTGGGGGTTTAACAAACAACCCATCCCCTGTTGAGAGCCCCGCATCCTAGTTTACTCGTTAGATTATGTTTCAATCCTCCAAAAATGACCCAAAAGAAATCCAAAAGAATTCCTGTAGAAAATTGTCCTTTCGGACATCCGTTAAAATTGGAACGATACAGAGAAGATTCGCATTTAAAAAAAAAAGGAAAAAAAAGAAGAAGAATTCCCCTAAAAAATCTCAGAAAATCCTTAACTTTGTCACAGTCCGACGAAACGACAGCCTTGCGAATCCTGCGGAAAACTCTGGAAATCATATTTGGGATCCCGTGAGTCATTAGCCTTTTGCCTCTCTATATTTTCTGAAATCTGTTTCACTTTGGGCCTACTGACCTGCGTTACTCGATATCCATCGAATTTTCTCGAAGTGAACTCCTCAGGCCCCGAGAAACTACCGTCTACACCCGACTAGAACACCCTATTATTATAGCTGCATTTGGCACAACTTTCACGCCAGATGCAGCGATAATGACGGGGCATTTTATTCTGGTGAAGACGGTAGGATTGTATTAATCGGAAAGAATTCCTCGTATCCTGATACGCTGCAACAGGCGTCGATCCCCCACACCCATGTGGATTACCCTTATTTTCACATTCTCCTTCCTGATATCTTTCTGCACGACGTTTTTCTCCTAGCCTCCCATTACCATCCATAGTATTTCTTTCCCCCCTCACTCCATGACGGGGCTCGATTCCGGATGAATTTGGACAGGCAGTCGCTGAAATACTCACGCTAGTAGTTTTGTAACCTTAGCAGCCTCTTCAGGGTCAGCAGGCCCAGACCTAACAATTCCAGATCTGATGTCATCTGGTAGATCCTGTGGAGATAGCAGGTAACTACCGCTTTTTTTTTTTTTTTTTTTCCTGAGGGATCGCCGAAGTACGAGTCATAGTCTTGGGTAGTCCTAAAGGTTAGGTCCTTATTCTCCCAAACATGTTGAAAATTTCTTTGGACTAACAGGGTCGTTCCCTTGTCGACACCATCAATAATGTGGCGGCGCCTGCTCGACACCATCGACAATGTAACGTCTCTTCTCCTAGTTGGCACTCAGCGCCCAGTCTACGATGATCTTACAGCGCCTACACTACCCTACACTACTGTGACAATGCAACCAGAAACAACAACAGCAGACCACTTGTATGTGAAGATGCCGACCATGCAGATCTCCATGGCCCAACCAGGTAGGTCTCCTTTCTCTCTCTCTCTCTCTCTCTCTCTCTCTCTCTCTCTCTCTCTCTCTCTCTCTCTCTCTCTCTCTCTCTCTCTCTCTCTCTCTCTCTATACTTTTT